CACTCTTTAAGACAATCAAGAACCGATTGCACATCAACACATTTCAATCACACCAGGGGACGATATGTTGGATCCCACAATGTGATGATGCAATCAACCATATCGGGGACATAAATTTTGGGAACTACATGAAGCAGTCAACTTCTATAAGAATTATGCTCTTAGTGTTGGATTCGATGTCAGATAGCACTTTGGTGAAAGCACGTGACAAAACGATCCTATGGAAATACCTAGTGTGCTCACTAAGAAAAATCCAGTGTACAAATCAGCAGACAGTGAGGTAAGTACAATTAACATATTGTTGAATTAATTGTTTGGTCGTTATGGGAAATTAATATTTCATCATTTTGCGATTTTCATTTTGCATACCAGCGTACAAGAGTTTATACGAACACATGTACACTATCATATTTACATCATATTAATTATTCACTGGATATGCAAATACTAACATACAATGAAATTTATGCACAGGAGCAGGTGACAATGGCCTGATGGGATGATTATTTTATTTTTTATTATTATTTCGGAGCAAATGCTACATATGGACATCCTTTTTTAATTTTTTTTGTTCATTTGATTTCATAAGATGATTTAGACGCTTGATTGTTTGGTTGACGGATATCGACGTACATGACACTAATGAGGTTGATTTTACGACGAACATTATATTGAGATTAATTGTTTCTTGTGTGTTGACATTAGTTTGTGATCATTATCGGGGGGCACACAAAATGGTTAATGCATTATAGCATACTGAAAGATGCATATTAGCTCTGATTAGGTTGCACAATATAGATAATAGTACCACATAATGATTAATGCACTATACCATACTATATATATATATATATATTGCACATCAATACGGATTATGTTACATTGCACCATATAGATAATAGTCTAATTATGTTGAACAAGTGTCGAGTGTTACTTGAACGAGTGTTACCGACATAATATGTATATTAATGTTAGTGTGTGTTGTGATGCACATGTATATCGGACGTGAATATGTTAGTATAATAATAATAATGGATGTGAATACGTTAGTATAATAATAATGAAACACCATGAACAATTCAAACAATAACATATGGACAACTNTTGGATGATTTAGACGCTTGATTGTTTGGTTGACGGATATCGACGTACATGGCACTAATGAGGTTGATTTTATGACGACCATTATATCGATATTTATGGTTTCATGTGTGTTGACATTAGTTTATGATGATTATCTGAGAGCACACAAAATGTTTAATGCACTATAGCATACTGAATGACGCACATTAGCTCTGATTAGGTTGCACAATATAGATAATAGTACCACAAAATGATTAATGCACTGTGCCATACTATATATTGCACATTAATTCAGATTATGTTGCACCATATGGATAATAGTCTAAATATGCTGAACAAGTGTCGCGTGTTACTTGAGCGAGTGTTACCGACATAATACGTATATTAATGTTTAGTGTGCAGCGTGATGCACGTATATATCGTATGTGAATATGTTAGTATAATAATAATAGATGTGAATATGTTAGTATAATAATAATGAAACACCATGAACAATTCAAACAATAACATGGTGATGATGATATATAAGTCGTACCAAAGTACCGCACGTTAATTTGGTGAACAATGCACATGCCGTACTGTTAAAGTGCACGTAATATATCACGTTTAAAGTGCACATTATATGATGCGATAATAGTATCGATTGTCCACACTAAAGACATTATCCACATTATATATCGCGGTTAAAGCTCACATTTATGATGCGATAATAGTATCAATCATGTCCACACTAAACACACGATAATATTAGCAAACGTGGTCACACTACCATTATATGGCCATACATGGCCTGTTAAACGGTTATTCAGAATGATACCACCGCAAATTCTAGACTGAACAATCGTCACCTACGCGTGAAACACAAATGACAAGTTCAACAATCAGCTAACACATATCGACTCAACTAAATTCCATCGCATTGATTATAAACATTAATATGCGAAAACACTAGTCAAATGTATCAGCCAAACAAATGACAACTACCGGAAGTTTCAACACTAAACATCATTTCAACAATCACTATAATAACAAACTATGTGCCGGTTCACCACTAGCATCCACGTGTTGCAAAAGAACAACTACTGATCATAACGTTTCAGCAAAATACAACTGTCCACATGGAACAAAACAGGTGACAAACAGATAGATCCACATCCCTCACATTTCATTAAACTATCACGACGAGGCAATTTTCTTCTTTGCCATATGCAATGGGTGATATCGCTTTGCTTCGGTGAGGTTGACTTCCTTCAACTCGTTGTTCTGGGTGCAAGCTATGACGTAGCTGTACCGCTTTCGCAAAAGCTTCATTTATGCCTTGTCTCCCTTCTTTAATCTGTAGATTCCAATGTCTGGGATCAGTTTTTGCACGTTCCGGAATGGCACCAATGGGTTTTGGTGTGTCCAGTGATCTCTTAGACACGTGTTCTGTAAATCAATCAACAATATAAAACACATATATGAGAAGTTGAATCTTTAAAAAGAAAAACTAAATTAAACATGAAATGTAAAGATGGGTTCGTAAATATTTACCTTCTTGCATTTTATCACGTTTCCCAGACGGTTCACCTTGATGTATTAAGGCCAAACTCGTACGACGTCGAGTCACTAGCCAACGATAACAAGCATTATAAAATAAAATAAAAAATTAAGAACACGAGTAACAAATAGTGTCGGTCTAAATTTCGAGGTAACTTATTACTAAATACAGTTACGTACACATGACGAAATTACCTTTCCTAACACCAGTCGGTCGGTCAGTTGTGCATGAATCGACATCACTTTTGGCTGCAACAGAAAACAGAAAACGAGAACAATTGAAGCCACGAGTAAGTACATGATAGTATATAGATGGTAGACTGTTAAAGGCAACAATGAAAACCCGTATGTATCTCCTTTACTGTGGTTTTCAGGTACATTGACATTCATATTATGTGCAGTACCTTTAGGAGCAATACCTGCAAGAACAGATACATCATATGCGATACGCATTACTCATAAATAATCATCCTAGTCGGAAAGAACACAGATTTTGAGTACAGTCTTTTTTGTTTTGCAGAGATACACCATGTATCTATAAAACATCCCAAGAATATACAAATCACACAGTACAAAATTCAGAATATACACATATGAGAAATAGCAATAACACCAACAACATCAGTACAACAGGTTTTAACAAAAAATCCAACACAATGTCGTCACATTAAACATACAGGGACCACTAATCACATTCACAAATTTCCATGCACACATGAAAACAAGGCAAATTCATTAACTACCAGCATATAACCGGAACAAATTATAAACAATAACAAAAACAAAAAATCTGANCGATATATATAATTTTCCCAAAGTATCGACACTAAATGAACCTTAGTTTGTTGTTTTTATTTTTTTTATTATTATTATTTTTTTTGTTTATGAACAACCTACAAATGCAAGTTAAATCCTCAAAAAAATTAGTAAAGGATATAAAATATAAGAAAACCTTACTAGATTTCTTCGATTGTGTAGAATTCCCCATATGTAAACTGTACCGAAACGATGAAACTTGGATGTTATTCCTTCATAAAACTTGACGAGCTTCACAATGGTGGTAATCGATAATCTCGCATGAAAAAACGACTAAAAATCGGCTGAAGATTTTGCCATTAATTGTGAGAAAAATCGCTAAGAGGGGCTCTTCAAATTCTAAGACGACCTACAATCAATGCTATCATCAATGGGTCGGAAAAGATCCTTTACCCTATGCTGAGATGTAAAATACAATAATGCCCTCAGCCACAAGGAAATCGTCGTAAAGTTATCCATATTTACGTTAATGCCACCATTTTTTCCACCTGCGTTCATTGAAGGCTGGTTTAATCGCAGCCGTTTATGGAATAGATCCGACAGCATGTAATTATTCTTATTTCTTTCACTATCTACTATTCTCATGTGATCCAATCTCTCGCTCTCTCTCTCTCTCTATATATATATATATATATATATAGATTTATCCTGATTTGAAAGTTTATTATGGCATATCACCATTGCATTGCGTAATGCATTGCACAATTCAATTGTACATGTTGCACTACCCTATTTTATTTTGCAAGAACCACGTAAAAAATATACTCTTTCCTTTGCAAAAATCCATAGAACTGTATGTAATTGTTAGATCAAGTCACTTATGAAGAGTAATTACAATGATATTATCTCCCAACAATACATAAGGTTGTGATGGGCCTTGGTCCCATGTGAAATTTGTATCTTTTGGATTTCAAATCTTGAAAACAGCTTGGATATGTCGGCGAATGACTTTACATTCTCAAAATTACTTACTCTTTTCAACTTCATTACACTGAGATTCACATGTATGAAAAAAGTGGAATATTCTGTTATGAAACTAAACATATGCCTCTGAATTAGTTTCAAATTAGTAGAGTATAGATTTAGAAAATTGTTGTAAGAACCTAGATGTTAGAATATACACTTGTGAGTTGTCCCCACATCGTCATACATGGAAAATAGACTCACTTTATAAGTCTAATGGGCTACTCCTCCTTCCATCAATTGATTTTGGGATGGAACTCCACTTGGACTTCATATGAGCTTTTCCCGCTTTTGGTGCGCTTCATGTTAGTGTGACTGCACCCGCTTTCCCTAAGTATGTTTAGAAAAGTCGAATTTGTTGTAAAACTAAAACAATAAAATGCTTATAAGAAAGGCGATTTTCCTCAGTGTGTTTGCTCTATTATTTTATTTTCCTTCCATAACGTTTTCTTCTTTCCCAGAAATCAATCGGAGCAGTTGGGATTTTCTCTACCAAATCGCGATTTTCTGTAAACTCTGCCTCTCTCCACTGTCTTCTGTGACGTGATTTCCATGAATTGTGTTGACTCTGCCAAAAGTAACTTAATTGTTAAGAATTCCGCAACATCTACTTTTCACCTATATTTACACTCTCCTCAAACCTGCGTCTCTCTCTTTTTTTTTTCTTTCTCCTTCATCCCGACCACTGCCGTTGTTACTTCATCGCAAACAGATCCTACGCGTCGATGGCCTGTGTCCGTTGTGGTGGGTCTCCGTGTAGTACTGCGAATGCACAAATAGGGCGGGGACTGAATTTAAACAATTAGGGAAAATTGAGAGCTTGTTGGTATGCACGTGAATCGGCTTGCCAACTCAGAGCGCTGACCCCGTCGAGAAGAGGCAACTGCAGACTCGTGAGCACTTGTCGCCTCCTCTTGTTGATTCCCTACTCCGCCGTCGCCTTCTGAGTATGTTTACTTAATTACCCGGGGAATTTCGATAGATTTTTTTGGCTAGAAACAAGACTACAAGAAAAAAGAAGTTCTAAGAAACAATGAAAAATTGCTAATTCAATCTTTGCTTTGTTAATGGTGATAATAATTTTCTATTGGTGGTTTAGGTACTGTTGATGTCCCTGAAAACTGGTGGTGTGAGCTTGAATCTGACTGCGGCTTCTAATGTTTTTCTAATGGTGTGTATAAGTACAACTCACAGGAGAGTTTTGCTAACTATTTGTTTACTATCCATTTTATAGTGAAGGTATGAATTATAGAAGTAATACATTTGAAATATTGCATTTATTATAAAAATTAAAGAAGCAATTTTATGTTTACTGTTCTTTTTCAATTAAGAAGTAAATATTTTAATTTGTATGATTCTTATGGCTTGAATCTAATTTATCTTATATGCACATAGAATCCATGGAGGAATCCTACAGTAGAGGAGCAAGTAATAATGAGAATGCATTGAATTGGCCAGAAGAGGACAGTCCATGTAAGAAGGTTCATTGCCAAGGTGATTTTTATCTTCATACATCAGCTTTTCTCTTTCAAAAATCAAATTTTTTATGTTCAATAACTCCAGTCACTTCACGACCAACTGCTCGGCTCGGAGTTGATAGAATTATAAGTTTGGCTGGCCTTTTGGCCTGAAGATTACGTTTCTGGCTTCCCGCCATATGCTCCGACGTTTCGGCCAATGCGCCGACTAACGAGGACTGGCGAGCGGCTGAGGTTCGAGATCAACAACATGCAGACGTGGATGAGCCTCCCGAACCAACAAGGACACATGCACCGACGGGTTCGGACGGGTGCCCAGCAATGGAAGACGTGTGTGACTGGCCGCTGAGGGGGAGGTGACGAGCAATGTGCTGGACCCAGAAAAAAGGTGTGAAACTTTTCAGATCCAATGTTTGATCCTTCAAACCTATTTGGATTTTGTTTTGCGCGGCGAGCTTTTCTGTGATAGCATTATCAAACCTTTTTTATTCCAGTGTAATAATAAATTGATCTGGACCTGTTTTGATGAATTGATGCTTTTCCTTGCGACTGTTCAAAATTTGGATGCTCAAATGAATTATAGTTAATTTGATGTGAGTCTTGTTTAGGTTAGTTGCTTGAGTATGGAGATACCTTGCTTAGGTACTTTGATTTTTTCTGTCAAGACAAATGTATCTCTTACAGAATTTAACTGGACTTTGGAAGACCTTTTTTATCCTTGGTTAGTACTTATGTAGTTTATAAAAAATTCTGAGGTTTTTAATTTTGGGTGCAGGAGTCAGAAGGGATGAAATGAAGGGAACTGCCTCAAGCGCGTTAGGGTTCTCAAACAGGAGATAGTCGAGTATACTTTCAATGATCTATGGCTCGAACGCCATTCTCTCGCTTCTTAGGTGATGTTCCCTCAGGTAACTTCTATATATTTTATTTTGTGTTAACCTTATCAAACAACTTATCTATATATCATTATTGAGAAGGCCGTGACATCCATCTGTACAGCATCTCGAGCAATTGTCTAAAGTGTGTTTTTGGTCCAAGCAGTCAAATATAGGTATCCTAAATATCCATTCCTATATTGCTCATAAATAGATGCTTAGGTTTTTAGTAAGAAGGTGCTGAAAAAATAAGAGGACCAAACTCTGTCAGGTAGTGTTGTGAAGGTATCTTTAAAGCTTAAGACTGAGGGTATTATATAAAAATTGTGTGGTGAGACTATTTGTAGTGGATAATATATAAGTATTTGTCACTAAGGCTTCTGAAATGTATACAAATTTATAAATTGAGATAAAGATGCTAGAAAGCTACTTAGCAAAGTGACGATCCTGACAACTCAAATGTTGGGTTACTCATATATATATTCACACCGGCAAGCTCGCCTGTCTCTGTTTAGTCTTTCATGGATGAAAAAAATACATGAAAGGACTAATGTCGGTTAACGCAGACTTGGATATCTATTCAGGGAAGAAAAAGAAAATTCACCTTCTTAATTATATCGACCCAACAAACGAAGCGAAGCGAAGCGAAGTGAAATCAAGGTTTGTAGGCTCTGTATTATATTCATTAGCTATGGCATATCTGGCCTCTATCAATTTCATTTTCCTGGCTTGCTGTCCTTAGACAAAGACACCTAACTAATATCACTTTCCAACTTACTTTAGCTGAAAGAACTATATATATGATATCATCATAATTAGATGTACAATGGCAATATATATATATATATATATATATATATACTCCGGTGAGAATGGTGCTCAATGAGAGAAATAAGAATAAATTTCAGCTATTAGATCATATCTAATATGATCCAATGACAAAAAATGCTAAATTTTACATTCATTAAGGGTAATGTGGTAAACATACACATCAGTGGACCCACACCACAATCAATAATCTGTCACCTCCTCACACACGCCACCACATACACAGCCTGTCATCCAACGGTCCAACCCACCCCCTCTCTCTCTCTCTCACACACACACACACAATCGAGATGCACGCACGCAGACATTCACACATGGCGGAGCACCGCCGCTGACCTCCCTCACTGGCGCCACACATACGTCATCAGCTCCATATCCGTCGGGGGCCTGAGATTGCTGGCGACTCTAATAGGAGGACACGCCGCCCGAGATTGCCCGAGATTGCAATGGGATTACACTGATGTGACGGGCGCCTCCGTACAAGCCGTTCTTCCCGTCGCCGTCCATTTATGCCAACCATCCCGCCGCCTCCGACGGCGCCTCGACTGTGCGCCTCCGTAAACGTCGTTCTTCCCGTCGCCGTCCATTTACGTCAGCCCCCCGCCGCCACCGACGGCGCCTCGACTGTGCGCTTCCGCACACGGCGTTCCTCCCGTCACCGTCTACTCACGTCAGCCATTTCGCCGCCTTCGACAACACCGTGCAGCCGCACCGGCCCGCCGCCGTCCATTTCAGCCATTCTCACCGACAGCTCCGTCGGAATAAGGCCATGGACTTTCGAGGACAAGCTCGTATCTCGACGGTGCCTGGAAGAGCGTGGCGTCAGGCGAGATAACCGGCCGGGCTAAGGCTGTGCAGCCGCCATCTGCGGAGGCCGCAGAGTGGCTGAGAAGGGTGCTGTGCGGCTGATGGAGTGGGGAAGTTTGGGCTTTGGTTTGAAAATTTAATGTTTGGTTTGAAAATTTAATGTTGTTTAGGGGCAAAGATGCAATTTTAAAAAAAAATTACTAATTACAATTTAGTCCATAGGTCAAATATGTAATTTATAAAAATTATAACAAATATTATTTTATATACTTTTTATCATTTATATTAAATCATTAAACAACAAATAAAATATAAAATATACAAATAACATAAAATAATAAATAAAATTTTTTGAATTAATATATAAATTTTATAATCTAAAAAATAAAATATTTTTAATTATTTGGGTAAATTCAATTAAATCTAATCAAATTTAGTTTAGATATTTGCACATAAAAAGAATACACAATAATGTTAACAAGATGCATATTAGTACCTATTATACTGCCAATAATGTTAGGCCTAATGCACATTAACATGATAGGTGATGCACATCATCATAACAGATTGTAATTTTTACGAATATTAGATTTTTTCGTTCATTCGGTATGATAGTCTTTAATTACAAACAAGGAAAAAAAAATAATACAACATAACAAACACAACTATTAAACAAATATTATTTTTATTGTATGTATATATATATTAGTTGTTTTCACCAGCAAATAATATAAAAATATTAAATAAAAATTTATAAGTACTAAATATATTTTTATTATATAATGACAAGTGCAAAAATAAGGTTCGATAAACTGCATAATAATGTTAAACAAAATGAACATTTTTATTTATGTGAATGCACAATATCTATTTTGGAAATTTCGTGTCATATGATTTTCAACCAAAAATAATATAAATATATTAAATAAAATTATTGATACGCTAAATATATTTTCAATATAAGTAATAAAATATTCTGAAAGGTACTTAAATTAATCGACCAAACAAATTAAGTAATTCGGTTCAATTTCAATTTGTTTTGGGACACAATTTCAGTATGTTCAGTTTGCACGATATTGACCGAAGAAGTGCACGATAGTGTTAGACAATTTGAACAATAATGTTTTATGGATTGCCCAATAGTGTCCGAAACTGACCAATCTAAAATTTTAGTTCAAATCATTATATGTCGGATCGTTTTTTTGATTTAACTTAAAATTTTGGTTATGCCGGTTTAATGCCGACTTCAGTTCAATTTATTTTTGATTTGACAAAATATTTTGGTCGGATTGATTTTNTAAGTCAATGAACACTAAGAGCAGTGTCATATTTGTTGAATCGAAAAAAAAAATAGATGTCTAGATGGTCGTAGTTCTATATTTCGTAACCAAATATAAAAAATAAAAATAAATATTACGCAATTATTTTAATGTGTGTCTCATCGATCAATATTGTGCATCTAATGTAATATTATTGTGCATTTTTTTTATTTTCACTAAACTATAAAAAATTACCCAATTATTAAAGTGAAAAATATATTAAAGGTCAAAAAATTGCATATGAGTCCCCTACCTATATCAAATTTTCAAAAATCACCCCAAATCCAACAAGTTTTAGCAGAACAAAAAATCTCCTACAACCGCCACCATCCCGTCCTACAGCCGCCGCCTCTACAGCCACCGTCGCAACTGTAACGCCCCACTTTTATTTGCCGACAATCAGAATAAATTTTTCAAAATTTAATTTAAACATTTAAAGCGTTACTCATTTATTTCAAAATCATTTCACCATTTACCAATCATCAAACTTCCAAACAGGGATCCCCAAATTTTCATCATAAGCCCAAACAGGGTTCCAACCATCATCATGGTACTTAAGGAGCATTCTCCTCCATATTTTTCCAATCATGAATAATATCCAAAATTCCTTAAATCTATAAATCATAAATTCCATAATATCCCAAGTTCATAAATCATGATATGAGTCATAAAATTCATAAGTGGTACAAATAGCGGAAGCATAACAATAATTAACCGGTCTTATGGACCGACCACCACTCGCTCTACTCCGCCGTCGTACCTGCCTTGCTTAACCTGAAACGTGAATTTCAGGTAGGGATGAGCACAGTTGGAAAAAGTAGTGCTCACCACTATGCAGTAAACATTATTCAACATATAATGACAATATTCATAACCACACATGTATGGTCGCAGCATGTATATAAAACAATCAATTATCCAAATCTCCTATCAATCATATCAATAATAGACTCATGTGCATACCTATAGCAATAGACTACTGCCGAACTATATACCGAACGCCTTATCTAAGGCCTTACAACGAGTGTCCGGCCAGTAGGAGTATCCCGCCGGCCAAGGCCTCACCTTGGTCTTACCAACGGGGTTGTCCAGCACAGGGACCTTTAACCCAGGTCTTACGGCTCAATATGTGTCCAGCACAGGGACCTTTAACCCAGGACTTACGGCTCAAAATGTGTCCAGCACAGGGACCTTTAACCCAGGACTTACGGCTCAAAATATGTCCAACACAGGGACCTTTAACCCAGGACTTACGGCTCACAATAATAAGGAGACTACCCAATGGGTACGTTCTATAGATACGGGAATAACCGTTCGACGGCCGGTACAGCTCACATCGAAGGCTACATGTTCCACATGCATACTTGACCGTACCAAAAATTTAAAAACAGTAATAACATTTACAGCATAGACAATTTTTAAATAAAACCCACCTGATACTGCAGAAGATGATGGTGAATGAACGGTCAAACAATGGCGAGGGCTTGACTCCTCTTAATCTACAAATTAAGGATTTAATTATTATTAAGGGTTTCCATTGGGTTGATTAGGTCACTCAAGCAAGTTAAACAACCCAAACAAGCAATCAAAGCAGATAAGGCAAATAAGAGAGATAAGTACAAACAAAGCACATAACTCTTTTTAATACTACCCAGTTTTTCAAGGCTCGCTCGAATTCTCGGATAAACTCTAAGGCTCGGAAAACTAGTTTATGCCCGAAAACCAATTTAACGTCAAATATCACATCACAATCTATCAACATTATTGCAAGCCATATATGTCAAAAAAAATCATAAAGCATGCCATACGTATTAAATATGTTTAGAAAAAAAAATCTCCATAACACATGCTCAACTCCAATCATAATGAACTCAAAGAAATATTTAAGTTCAACAAGTCAAATGTATTATTTAAACTAAATAATACCTGCAGCATCTATTGACACGCTTTAACAAACAATACATGATGCACCTAATATACACATTACTTTTAAAGATGATGATATACTAAAAAGAATAACTTGCAGCATAATTTCTAACATGCTTAATTACACATGATGTTTTAACTTTTAATGCCTGGTACTTACTTCAAATATGCTTAAAAGAAACAACCTATTTTTCTTCTTCACTAAATGAATCATGCAGCAAATTAAATCACATAACAAAGGTCTTAGCACATACAGCCCCTTTATGATCTCCCATCTTATTTTCTTTTTCTCATAACCAACAACGCATGATAGGGCCTTAAAAGCTAAACATGAACTTGATAATAATACATATAACCAGCATGCTTTATAACTATCATTTAAATCGAAACTAGTCATCTAAATAACCACATAATCTCAGCATATTTTATCTCATGATAACAGCCCCTTTTTTCAATTCAAACTAGGCAATTAGGCACACATTCATGCTTCTCTTTTGCTCACACTCTACTACAAAGCAGCATGCTTTTAAAATGAATAAAAGAAAACATAGCATGCTCATATATTCTCGGCCAAAAAGAAATAAACCTGAGATCAGCCATCTACCTCTCTCGGGGCTAGAAACAAAATCGAAAGGGAGGCTCGGCTGGCTCTCGCCTCTCGAAAAGGCTCGATTTAGCTGCTGCAACTTGATGCTAAGAAACGGACGGCCAACGCGGTGCCATTGCTCTTCCCGTACGGGCCCGTAAGGCTGCCGTTGCTGTTTCGGGCTCCCCTCGCACTTACGGGTTGCTAAAAAACAAACCGGCAATGAGCTGCTGCGGATTCTCACCTCGACGGACGGCTCGACGGTCGACGGCGGCTCGAAATCGTCGGACAATGGTCGGGGCTCGCGAGCATTCACTGCCCGACGAAAATCGAGGCCCGAAATCGCCGGAGGCATGGGCTCGTCGGACGTTGGTCCCGTCGCTGGAAAATCTGGTGGACGTCGGCATTCTCGTCATCGGCTTGGTTTCAATCGCGGGATGCTCGAATCGCCGTGAAGGGCGGGATGATGTAGTTCTCCTGCCCACAACCGGACCTATCGAGATTAGCTGTCGTCGGGTGCATTCACCCTCAATCGCCTGAAGTCGGATTCTCATAAATTCGCTCCCGTCGCGGCTGAGGAGCTTCTCCCGGCGAGGAGGAGTGGCTGTGCGACGGGACTGGTTCACGGCGAGGGACGGGCTCGCGGCGTTGCTGCTGGTCACAGACTGAGAAAGGCTCGCGGAGGAGAGTTCGCGTCGGAGGTTGCTGGTCGCTGCGCGAACAGGGCTCGCCGGAAGAGGAGGGCTGCCGCGATGGCGAGAGGATGGTGGTGGCGGCGATTAAGGCTGGCGATGAGGCGAATTTTGCGAGAAGAAATTGAGGGATCGAAGGAGTAGAGTTTGGGCGCGATGATGAAGTGAACAGAAGGAAAGGAATTCTGTGTGTTGCGGCGATCAGATCGTGAGATTAAAGAGGGAGAAATTAAGGCTGTTAGAATAGTTTCCTTAGGCTAACAAAATGGGCTAATTTGACTTAGTTTGGGCCGAAATATCATATCACAAATTGGTTGGAAATTAATTCGAAATGGGGCCAAATTAAATAGTACAAAGGGTCCGAAAAATTACATAAAAAAAAACCGAAATGACATAAATCCAAGTCTCGGCAAAAGGCCAAAGAAACGGATCCAAACAGATCGAAAGCGGCTTTACGCGATTAAGCCGGAAATTGTCGAACGAATAAATCCTAATCAAATAAAACTTATTATTTATAACACATATAAATAAGATAATCACTTAATAATTAAGGACAATTAAGCATATAAGAATTAATATTCAAGCAGATAATCATAAGGCAAAGACGAGCAAATAATATAAAACAAAGGAATAAATTAAATAAAATGCAAATAAATAATAATATCATATTCAAAAAATTCTAATAAACGAACGGCTTATAAGCTACGCGATTAAACCGATATCGCCGAACGACGAACGTTTTAAAATAAAATGATCGAGTACTTCAACATAGAATTTAAGTCGACAACGCGACTAATACAATAAAGATAATCTTATAAATCAAATTCGATAAATAGAATAATCCCAGAAATTCTATAAATCGAACGGGGCGCTACAACAACATCCTCTCTGCAATTCCCTGTGTGCCGCCTCAGCTGCCGTCGCATCGCCTCGCCCGTCAGCCATCTCGTCTCCGTCACCGTCGCGTCGCGCCGCCTCCGTCCGCATCTCCTCCGTCAGAATCGCCACAGTCCGCTGCGGTGTTGCACAACCTCGGTTCGCCGCCTCGCTGCATCGCCGTCGTCTACATCTCCTCCGTCAGATGCTGCATCGCCTTGCCTTCGACCACTGTCGCCGCATCGCCTCACATCCGACCACCATTGCATAAGCTCGTCTCCGATCGCCGCTGTGACTCATCGCCTCCACCCGCCACTGTGACGCCTTGCCTGCATCCGTCGTCTCATCGACCAGTTAAACGGAATAAGAATGCGGCGGAGTTGCGACGGCGATTGTGGCGACGATAGGAGGTCCGGACAAGCGTGAAGTGTATATGTGTGTGTCGGATTTGAAATGTGCGTGCGTGTGTGTGTGCACCAGATCTGAAGTGTGTGTGTATGTGTCTGTGGGTGGGTGGGGGAAGGTAAGTGACGGGTAGGTAGGAAATGAGTAATGTGATAGGTGGTGGGTCCCATATGTTGGTGTATTTATAACAAATGTCTAAATTACCCTTAATTATTTGTCAAATATGTTATTTGACTATGATATGTTTATTTATTACTATATTGCCATTAATGATTGACTTGATCATGGCCATTGATGTGATGTATACAATGGTCCAGATTCATTCTCATTTCTTTCCTTGTGCTCTTTTCTCATTTGAGTGCACTTCTATATATATATATATATATATATATGTTCGTTTCCCTTTTCAGATTAGAACTAAAAGTAATGAAGAGATTCTTGAAATTAAGATTGGAAAGCAGTCTCTGAAGAAGGCTTGCTGCTGGAATTCTGGAAAGACCCGGAGAGGTTGGTGCTGGTTGTTGTCGAGAAACCAGATGGCAAGAAAAATTGGATACTTACAGATCAGGTAACATCTTATGCTTGCATTTTAAGCACTCTAATGTTCTGGTCACCCAGTTGTACTTTCTGGTTTTTCTGATTATGCAAAATGGAAACATGACATCTATTAAGCCACAACAAATTACTTTCATTGTTCCTGGTGTCGACAATTTGCTTGCCTGCCAACAAAATTTTGTTTTAGGATTTTCTTGATTTGTTTATTTAATTAATCAGTCTTTTCATGTGCAATTAGATTAGAAGACCATTGTTAAATGAAGATGAATCCGGATTCAAGAGAGCCAAAATACCTATTTACTATGATAGAGGTTTAGAAGTAAATGTGCCGTCAAAGCGCAATATGGAGTATCGGTTATCTGTTAAGAGAATTTTTTATAGACTTTTACAATGAGTTGAAGATTAATAATACATCAGGATATGCATCCTTTGACAATGAAGAATCAGAGTAAGATTTGTCCTCTTTTTTTCCTTTCCCACTTTAAAGTGGAAACACATGTCAATAGAGAATAGCTATTATTGACCGTGCTTCTGGTATTCTTAATAACAGTCTGATTTGGTCAAACTTGGTATCTTATTAAAGGGTCAAGTTGTGGATGCTATGGAGACCAAGTTTACAGATTGAAAGCACAACTTGTGGGTCGTGAACTTATGGATAAGCTCAAAAAGTTCATGGACAGGTACACTGATTCATAGAATTATCTTCTTTCGTCAGTTTAAAAAATTATATTCGTGAAGAATTTATTGATTACCTTATCGAACAAACATGTGTTAGAGATAATTCATTCAACCTGCCATCGGGTCAAAGGTCCTTGCAAGGGATAAGTAAGTTTCACGCTGTTCACCAAGTATCGTGGTGAATTAGAATCCCCCGGCACCTCTTCATGCCGGAGGTGAAGGCCTTGGATGGTCGTCGTTGGTCAGCGCCACCATGCCGGACGCTACTCTCTGCCCGACTCAAAACTTTCTCTCTCTTCATGATTTACATTTTTTTTTCTAAGGTTTCGGCAATGAGAAGGAACGTTTTTGAGAAAATTTTTACGGGGTTGATGTTGCTCAGAAGAGAAAATTGTTGGAAATACAAAGGAAATAAGAACATGAAATGTGTGAGCTCTAAGGACATACCATAAGAGGCATTCCTTGAAATACTCGAGGGTTGATGAGAAAATTTATATCTTGTGAGCCTAAAAATTGTTATCAGCATAGAAAAGAATTGTAACATTCTTGCGGTTCTTTGGTCAGAAGTAATTCATTTTACATAATGGTGAAGTTATTTGAGCAATATCAAAGCCTGTTGAAAGAAATAAAAATTTCACATAGTAATTTTATTTAGATGCTGATAGGATCACTCCAAATATACATTCCTGTTGTGTGGCCGTCCCGGTCCCACCGCTCTCGTCATTGGCAGCGGAAGCTTTGTTTTGAACTCGACCGACCCGCTTGCAGCCCCGTTAGAGCTCGTAGAGGAGCTGCTCGTCTACAGGCCACCGGACCGCTCTCTTTCAGCTCCTAGTCGTCTCTTTCGGGCCCATTTTTGTCCCTATTACACCTGAACACAAACACACAGTTTAATGGTGATTAACGGCAATAATAATCGAGCAATACACGAAGTAAAATGCCACAGAATAAGGAAATAAACACAACGGGAATAAAAGAGAAGGAAAGAAAGACTCCCTTTCGTTTGTCGGCGAAAAATGGAGGACACGAAGTCTCCAGGCTTAGATAGCCCTTCTTTCCAGCACCCTCGGTTCAGTCACGGCTCGGTGGTGGTCAACAAACGGCGACCCCGGTTTCTCAGCCAGCACCCCGGGCTGCACCTCACCCACACGAGCCCCGCACCCGACCACCCGTCGCCTAACCCCTCCTTCTCGCACAACGGCTCGCCGGAAGCCCCACCAAGAGCTCTAACCGGCGGGTTGAGTAGGGCGACGACACAAAGGCGGCACAACGGTGGCTCACACGACGGCTCTCACGGCAACACTCACCTCTCACACACTCCAAAGGTCATGAAGAACAAAAGGAGAAGACAAGAAATCACTCGGGGTTTTTTCACTCACAGAGAGAGAAATGGCGCAGCGAACAGATAGACAAGAGGAGAGAGAGTGTCTTTGTTTTTTTTTTGGTAGGCGGAGAAATAGAGATAGGGTATGAAACGTATGTTTTTACCGCGAGTGCGCAACACATTGTACGATCGTGAGTAAACTATTGTAAAAAGCGGTAGCAGTAAACCAAAGATTTAAAAACTCTTCAGGGAAGCTTCCCACTTCCCCTCAGAGCTCTTTCATTGATAAACCGTATCATTGTATAGCTTGGACTTACACGACTTGAACTCCCTTCTAGCCTAGCCACAACTACACATGATCCTATCAACTAATTCTCCGGCCACGTCCCGTGGACTTTTTATTCAACACTTAATCCCTAAGTGTCAGTTTGGTTGGACTTTTTGATTGGGCTTGATACAATACTTTAGGTTTGGGCCCTGTCTTATGAGTGAGATTATCCATAAGTTAAAGGTGTTTGGTTGCATTTTGGACATTTAGATATAGCCCTAATAAGTTGTTTGGTTGGTTCTTTATAACCCGAAAACGTTTTCATTTTTTTAGTGTTTTCTCCTATTTCCCACTTTGACACCAAATAGACAAAAATTCGACTCCGACTAGAAGAAGAGATTCAGACGAAGAAGATGATTCGGACTGTATGCTCAAAGCTTGAATTACAGCAACTCGGATTCTTGGTGGAGGAACCTTCGATTACAGACGGACAGGACGATTCCTTGACAGGTTTCTCACAATCGGGCTTCATCAGAAAATCACCAGGCAGGTTTATAAATCGATTTACTTTCTTGCCATAGTAGAATTTATTTTCTGCCAACAGTTTATGGTTGCAATTATTTACTTTGTTCACGTTAGTTCATGAATTTGGGACTATACCCTCAATTAGGGTTCCCTTTTTCGATCTCGGCATTCACAATTACAGATGTTAGAACGTATGACAAGTTCATAGATTTGGTTTGACTGAGAACCTTCAGTTAGTTTGTCCTTGTCATTTGCATCAGATAAAGGGGTTTAAAGAATTTTATATATTTCTGTGGAGTGGTTGTATAACTTATCATTTTTCAATCTTTTTAACATAGGCTCCATCATATTTGTTCAGTGTTTGGAATGGTGGTCTTTAGTGGCGAAATGATACAAAGACTAACCCTAGAAGAAGGAAAATTGTATTCTTCAGCCATGTGGTTTACATATGTTAATATAGATTAAAAATGTCATGACTTGAAGTTACAAGGTCAGTGAATCGTAGTCCAAACACTGTGTGAAGTAGCAGATGACATAACTTCTTTTGTCAGCTCTCCTTTAGCATTGAAGTTATCCTTTCTCATGAAAGAATTGTGTGAGAACGATATATGATTATCCTTGCATTGCATAATGTCTTAGATATAATGAAATTGGCTATGGTATATCTTTGTTACACATTTTCGATAGTTCTTATCCTTTCTCATGAAAGAATTGTGTGAGAACGATATATGATTATGTATGAAAATATCAATATTTCATCTCGGTTGGACAAAGTTTTAGACCTTTCTCTTTTCCATTTGTCATGTTCAAAAAAGGCTTTATATTAGTAAGACTCATATTGTGGAATTGGTGTGATGGGAAACTCATGACTGAACTTCAGTTTTGTTTGTCTACATCGGCAGGAATGAAACCACATACTCGAAATTACGACATTGCAAATCTCTTCAGTTGTGACGATTGGAATGAAAACGAAGAGAACTTTCTCGTTGAACAACTTGAATATGCTGCTCTTAATATCCCTGTAAGTTCCATTACAATCTTTGATACCTGTTTGTGGTTCATCACTGGGCTGTTGATAGAAACATTTGGGAAAGAGTTTTCCATTCCAATGGTAAAACAAAAAGTCATCAATTTGCGGAGACAATACAATTCGTTTTTAGAGTGGAAACAAATCCCAGGCGTATATCACAATCGAAAGTCTAACAGAGTCTCGGTCGATGGAGTGTATTGACAATCAATCACTAAGGTTAGGTACATCATAAATTGGTGATCCATTATTAATTCATTCTGAAGCCTAATGGTAACATGTTTTTGGTTGATTTTTCATTGAACTATTTCAATGTTTCAGGAAACCATGGAATGGAGGTTTTTCAGAACTTATGGGATGAGACATTTTGAAACGGTTGACTTATTGTTCAAGACAAAGAATGCAGCGCCTATTAACATGTTCCTCCCTGCTAGATTATTTTAGACAGTTTTTTGGCTTCAGCTTATTGTTATTATGCCACAAGTGTTGTGTGGAGATGTAATAGAGTTGTCAACTTTTGAATTAGTATGTGATGACTTTGGGTTGCTACACAATGACCTGACTTTGTAATGTTAACAGTTTGTTTCACTTTTCTATAGGAATATATGAAAATTAATGACAATTTTATATGTACTTGGAATTTGTGTTTGTAGCCACGTGCAAGTTATTGAGCAGTTGGATGTTGAATGATACCTTTGATTGGATGAAGTATGTTTTGTGAACAGAAAGCCACATGTTTGGATGAAGCACATGGTTGTGTTTGTAGCCACATGTTTTCTATGTACAGGAAGTATGTTTGGATGAAGCACATCAACAATAAATGGAACACAGGTGTTGTAATTGAAAAATGAACACATCTACAAACCAAAACAGTGGCAGACATGTAATAATACAATAATGACTCAACAAAAGTGTTGAGCGTTACTAGTTCTCAAACAACAACTCATCCAAATTTAATCCATAACCTACACATGAAATTTAATCAAACCCAATATCCTAGCACTCAACCTTCAACATGAAAATGAAGCCATATTTGGAATCCAATGTTCATGTCACTCGTAAAAACAAATGCCATGCAACTATTGTCAATAGCTACCACCATTAAAATACCATACAACAATTATGAAGGCCAAAAGGACCACGAAAACACGAATCTTACTCTCGTGACTTCTTTTTCTAGTTATTGAATCTAATACCTCCAGAAGCTCCACATTTTGAGCTTTTACATCCCTTAGTTTTTTTTCTTTTTTTCCAACTTCTCGGTTAAAACTTCCAACAACGCATCCTTTTTTTTACTTCTTCCTCCAACATTAACTTCTTTGATCTGAGGTTTAGGTAACATGCCTTTTGAAAAGGAGGTAGTTCGTCGTCCAACCATTCAAAGAGGTCACATTGTTTCGTCTACAATAAAAATGAAGGACATGGTGTTAAAATTTGATGTTGGAGTGAATGGCCATAACTACATAACAAGACCTTTGACAAACCAATATGATAGTGGCAGTGTTAAACAAAATTTGATGCTCGAAAATCAGTAAATATGATAGGCTGAAACAAAGAGCTTAGAAGAACAAAATAGCACTAAATAAATTCAAACAAAGTTATGTAACAACAGAGTTTTTGGAATTGGAAATAAACTGAAACAAGAGTTTGAAACTCCCTAACAAACACCCTTACACCAATACTATAAACACCAACAAAAAGAGCTACTAATGCAAACATAGAGATAATGAAGTTAATGATTATCAACAAGAAAACTTGAAAGCTGTGAGCAAATTCGTCGTCCAATTAGCATGTCCATAGACTGAACTTACATTCACATTCAAGCAAATACTTACATTTTCATTAGCGCATCTGTAGTACCTTCTACACGGATTTTTTTTCTGTGTTGGACGTTAAAATCTAAGCCTCCTCCTTATGTAAACACCTTCTTGTCGGAGGTTGGTGTCTGTTGAAGCTCTGAGACGGTCTATCTGACCAGCTACTTCTACCACTATCTCGAGACATTTTTCGTGCAAGCTATTATTTTGTTGGAAGGAGAAGGCTGAAAATTTGATACTGTTTGAGGAGGATCTATCTCTTGGCCATTGTTACATGAACAAAAGCACAAGTGTAGACAATTAAATTTTGAGCCAATAAAATGGCGACAAGTGTCAAATTCCATGTTAAAATCAATTTAATAATTTTCTATTTTATTTTGGAAATTAATCAAATTTTAATTCCTAAATTAAATAGTTAATTAATTGATTATTTAATATATATTGTTGGCCAATTAAAGAATACCACATGTATATTTTGAAGGCCAATTAAA